GCCCTGGCACTCTACCCAGGGGGATAGCTTGAGGCTCTGTCTCAAAAGAAAACAAAAAAAGAAGTCCTTTCCTATGCTCATGTTACAAACTTATCACTGTAAATTTTCTTCTTTTAATTTTAGTTTTATCAAGTCTTTTGTCTCCAGGAGTCAGAGGTGTTATCTATCTATTGTACCAGAGTCATGTTACATCTAAGTCTTTAATTAATGTCCTGTAGGTCTTTGAGTTGTAAAGTAGGGATCCATCCTTCCTTTTCTTCGCTGAATGAGTGAGTTTTCCCCAGCACCACCTTCTTTTGTACATTATGTTCTTTTCCCATTGATTTGTGAGCAATTTGTGTGTACCATTGAGTCCCCTTTATGGTACATTGTTTCCACATATAAGTAGATCTGTCTCTGAGTTCTGAATTGGGTTCTATTAGTTTATTTTTGTGTGTAAATACCATGTCGTTTTTATTACTACAGCTATATGTGTGTCTTGATATCTGGTAGGGAAAGTCCTGCTCTTTGCTCTTCATTGTCAAGGTTGACTTAGCTGTATGTTTATTGCTTCATAAAAATTTGAGTCAATTTATGAAGTTCCTTAAAAAAAGTCTTGGTTATCATTACACTGACTTTATAGACTAATTTGAGTAGAATTGTTACTTTCATAGTACTTTGTATTAAGTCAGATCATCTTTCTTGTGTTTCATTAGTGTTTAAAATCTTTGTGCATCAAATCCTGTGAATTCTTAATTTCCAAATATTTTAGTTATTCTTGGAAGCTTGCAAAATGCTTATTTTTAATAATCTATCGAGGAAAATGCTATTTATTTTTCAAAGTTGATTTTGTATCTGGCATCCTAGCTTAACTTTGTAATTAGTTCTATTCGTTCCTTGATTCTTTTGTAACTATTTTCTCTTTTCCTCCAATATGTACACACTTTTTTTCCGTTTCATTAGTCTCTCAACTTCTAGTACTAGTCCCTTTGCCGGTACATCCCGTAGCTCCCCACCCTGCAATCTGTTTGCTTGGTGTTGAATTTCTTACTTTTCTTCAGAACTACCAGACCTTTGTGTGACTGCCTGTCTGTGAATTTAACACACTTGCCCTTATTATTTCCCCCCTGCTCCAATATCTTCTTTGTGAAGCATTTCCTTTCTTCCTCAGGCAGCACAGGTTGCTGTTATCTTTTTGTTCCTAATGTGGATAGTTTTTCTTCCATGGGCTTTGCCAGATTTCATTGTAATTTCTTTTTATGTGCCTGGTTCTTCTGTGGACTCTTGACTGGGGCCTTCTCTTCCTCCCCCCTCCATCTCTTTGCTGTGCTGGTCCTCTCATTGGGCTACTTTCTCAGGCAGATCTTTCTACCTATACTGGCAGAGGAAGCCACCAGCAGCTCTGCCCACTCACTTAGAAGCACTTGCAATCTCAGGAGGAGAGAGACCCTTTTTTGTGATAGTTCTAGAAGTACTGGGAAAGTTGCCATACCGACCATTTTTATTGACCAAACCATGACCACCTCTTGTAACCAGGACGCAGAGTCAGAGCCAAGCCCCATCTGAACCACATGTATATTGGAGAGGGGAGGTTCTTGGAAGGAAAAGAGGGCTGCTTTTGAAAAGGGGAGGTACTCATAGTTGCTAGTCAGGCAACATCATTAGAAGATAACCTCTAGGCTCGGCACCAGCCACATACACCGAGGCGGGTGGGTTTGAACCTGGCCTGGGCCAGCTAAACAAAAATGACAACTGCAACAACAACAAAAAATAGCTGGGTGTTGTGGCAGGTGCCTGTAGTCCCAGCTACTTGGGAGGCTGAGGCAAGAGAACACTGAAGCCCAAGAGTTCTTGAGGTTGCTGTGAACTGTGACACCATGGCACTCTACCAAGGGTTATATAGTAAGACTCTGTCTCCAAAAAAAAGAAGATAACCTCTAAGCCAGTCAGCAACATCTCGGAGCCTTCTTTCATGATATTCCCTCTACATTCTTATTGCAATGAGTGTGTCTCTTTTGTGTTTATGGACATGTGTTACATGACTGCCACATACTTCTTCCTCTTTGCTGTCCTGTGGTATGTATGCCTGTACACTGTGCAGTTTAATCTACTTACGAAGATATTCAATACGTTTCCTTAATCAAAGCAGTAAAGATCCCCGTATTTTTCCATCCATTTATTCCTGAAGTATTTGTTGAGAATATGAACAGAAGCAAAAATGAAAGGGTCCCTAGCTAGAATCTCATATAATATGTCTAGTAAGAAAGATAGATTTGTCTGCATGTAACTGCTGCTCATACTTTAGGTCTTGATGTAAAAATGTCACTGTTTTAGAGAACCTTTCTTTTGATCGCACAGTTGAAATCAGAGTCTGCTATAATTCTCTCCTGTTGCTTCTTGTTCTTTTTGTTTACAGCTCTTTTGGAGTAATTATAATTTAAGTTTTCTCTTCTCTACTAAATTGTAAGCTCCATAAAGATAGGAGCCTTATCTATTCGTTGATGGATTTGTCGCCAGTGTATAGAATAATGCTTGTCTCTAGAATATTTTTATACAACTATTGCGTATTTGCAGTAATTAAAAATTAAAATTAAAAAAGTTAAGTTTTAAAATTAATATTTGTTGAATGATATGTTAGCAGAAATATACAGCATGCTCAGCCGTTTGATAAAATCTGTCTCTATGGGCCTACGAAACCCATAGAGTGATTGTTTGGTTTCATTTAGGAATTTGGGGGAGTGCATTTTTAGCATAATATGAAACTTGTCATGTTGATTCAGTATTCCTATATCCTATAAGTTTTCCTACCCGTCAACATCAAACACTCTAGTCTTCACTCTTCTAAATTTACAAAATTTTGTGTTAAGACAGGATGATCCAAGGGCCAACACTTTTTCTGTATTCCCACCTGTGATGCTGTCTGGCCCAATTAACATTGGAGGAGAGCAGCCCTCTGATTTCAGCACAGAGAACCTCTTTTCCCAAGGTTACTAGACCTAGTATTTATTAACAGTTATAGTTTTTACTTTAGACAAAACTAAGATAATCTGTTTCAGGAGCTCGGACATAGAGTAAGGTGTTATATTGTGAACAGCTGCAGCTGATTCTTGGTTATTGATGTAGTTTGCAAATGTGTTGGAGGCACTCACCTATCTGATGCCTTACATGACCTCACCATGCTTCTTCCTCTTTGCTGTTGGGTAGGCTTTAACTGTGGCAAGGGACTTTTTACTTCAGATTTGACTTTAAACTCTGACCCAACTGAAGTGTCTACACAATTAACTGGAGCAGGGGTCCTCAAACTTTTTAAACAGGGGGCCAGTTCACTGTCCCTCAACCGTTGGAGGGCCGGACTGCGGGCCCTGGGATGAGTCGGCTGCTAAGCAGGACAGGCAGCAGTGGCAAAAACACCCCGCGGGCCAGATAAATGTCCAGTCGGTCTGCATGTGGCCCATAGGCCGTAGTTTGTATGGATTCCTGACAGGCATGGGCTATATGAGTGAATGAGTATTGTGACAGAAAATGTTTTGGTTGTAAATCATCTGTGTGAATCACAATGTGACATGAAGCATCGGGTTTGTCTTTTATTCACTTCATGACATAAGAACAAATACAAGAATTTATGTAGCTAAAATTTACAGCAGCAATTATGGAAATTTAAGGAAAGACAGTTGTTCTATAATACTTTAAAAGTCAGATTTTTTAGTAGAACAGAGATTTATATATTATGCAGTAAGATCAGTCGCATGGCCTTCTTGTGTTTTGTTTTATATACTTTGTTTTTTAGACATATCTCTATCACTAATAACTCCTTAAAATATCTGGTGGGGTTTAAGCTTGTCCAGTTCTGGAACCAAGTCATCTTTAATTTGCTTAATGAGCTTTCATTTAAGTAGGGTTTCAGTATTTTTCTTACAACTTTACATGAATTTTTTCAGTTTTATAAACTTATTTTGATATTCTTCTGGAGCTATTGTGCTTTTTGCTGTATTGTTGAGGTTCCTACTGTCCTGGTCTTTACACATTACCGTGTCTCACCATCACTATGGGCTTATAATCCCATTTAAACTTCTGCAGTGATTGAAAGTTCTAGATAACATTTATTTCTGTTTATGCTTTATATTCAGCTGAAACTTTTCCTTTTTCTTTGATATAAGATTTGTTTCTAAAAGGGATTAATGATCTGGGGAGGACAGGGTAGTCCATTATATAGAAATAGGCTTAATAAAGCAAATGATTTATTTACTACTAATATTTTGCTGAACATGCAAAGTTGGCATTGAGAAAAGTAGATACTATAGATAAAAGATCTAGAATGTACCACAGTTGAGATTGTAAAGTGATCATACTTTACATTCTCATTGTTTTTATCCCTGCACTGTGACTTCTCTTGAGCAGTATAATCTTCCAGTGTTTGTTTCTGTATTATTACTACACAGAGGTCTAGAGTAGATCTTCAAAGCAGAGCATGGCTGGTAACTGTTTCCATTTTATGCCAATAGACCTGTCATTTAATAGGAGATGGGGAGTGGAATTGGGGAAATAATGGGATATCTGACTCAAATACAAGAGCTGATGAATGGGAAAGAGTTTTAGTTTTTGTTTTGTTTTGACTTGATTTTTATATTATTTTTCAATAACCTGAAAATGTTGAATTTTAAATTTTTGTTTTTACATATACAGTTTATCTAGAAAAGAACAGTGTCTTATCTTGCAAAGTGATCATTCTTTTGTCTCCTTTTTTCTCCAGAGATATTACATATGAAATATCAGTAGAAGCAATATCAACAATGGTGGTTTTCCTTTCCTGCCAACTCTTCCACAAGGAAGTTTTGCGACAGAGCATCAGCCACAAGTATTTGATGCGAGGTCCATGGTATGTTTCTATTTTAAATACAGTAGAACTTTCATAGTTGACCACCTCTCTACATTGACGACCTCTTTAGTTTGACCTAATTTTCATAGACCAAACATGCCCACCTGTAGGTATTAGTACAATAGGCCTGGTACCTTATGTTGCCCACCTCAGTATATTGACCGGTTCGTTACAGTCCCCTGGGTGGTCATCCTGCAGAGGTTCTGCTCTGTGTCTGGTTTTTTAATTGTGTAAGTCTGTATTTCTAGTCTTGTGCTCTTATCATAGCATTGATGTTTCTTCTGGGTATTCTGTCATTACGTCAAATCTGATGCATAAGGAACCAAAACCTGCATCCCTGTCCAGTCTCCCCATCCTCACTGTCCATCCTGTTACCCAGCTCTGTCTCCTTCTCTAGTGGTTGCATTGCGGGATTGAAACATGAAGTCATCTATCTTCTTCATTCTGTGTGTGTTTATCCAGTCAAGTCATATTTGTTTACTCAGATTATTTTCATATCTTACCCTTCTCACCAGCCCTCTTAAAACTGCCGTAATCCATGCCCTGTCACCAGGCGTTGGACTACTCCAGCAGCCTCTTCCCTGACTTTTCCTACTTTCACTGGGCCTACAAATACTTCCTGTGTGCTTCTGTGTGCCAGGCGTGTGTTAGCCTGTGGGGCTGTGCTCCTGAGTAGAATTTTACAGTCTCCTGGGGACTGGGGCTGGGGATGGAAAAATATTAACACATGTACACACACTCTTATCTTGTATTCACATAATGTTCATAAAACTTTCAAATGTAAAACAAATCCAAATAAAGTACCTCAGAGTAAAGTTCTTAAGTACTGGGGAGCTTTGTCATCTTTGCATCCCTCTTGCTGTCCTGATTATATCTGTGGCACATATAGTCTTTGAATATATTTGAAAATCACTGGTGAAAAGGAAAGGGCCGGGGCTTTGGAGGTGGAAGGTTTGCATGTGAACCCTCTCTGACAGTGACACTCAGTACAATCTTAACATGAAGTACTTGGCATTGTAGGGCTGTGTGCACCTTGCTGTGAACTTTGTTCCTATCAAAGTATTAAAGTTGATTTTTTTTTTATAGACGTGGAGAATGTTCGTGTTCCTATTGTCTAAGTAAGGTTTTTATAGTATCATTGTGATAATATTATAAGCCGTAATATGTTCTTTACTAATTTTTGTCATTCACCTTGAAATCTCAATAGTACATTGAAGAGTCTTAAAAAGTTTACTCTAGGGTGGCACCTGTGGCTCAAAGGAGTAGGGTGATGGCCCCATATGCCGGAGGTGGTGGGTTCAAACCCAGCCCCGGCCAAAAACTGCAAAAAAAAAAAAAAAAAAGTTTACTCTAGATTGCAGGAATTGGTTTATCACCAATTGAATAATTGAATATATTTGCATAATTTCATACTTAAAAAGTGTAGTCTTTTATTATTTGCTAGTTCTTGGTTTTTCCTACTGATTCTGTATTACTGCCTTCCTTCAGGTGCCACGTAAGGTATTATGCACAAAATTTATAATATCTCACAGTATTATAGAGACGACCAGAAAAGTAACTGAACATCAGGAGTTTAAGTGTCAAAGCTGGAACTAAGCCACAAATTGATCTTAAAGTCTGTGGTCTTTGTTGTCATGTGACAATGCTAGATTTCTTTGAATTATGCTAGCAACTCTTTCATGTTAATAGTATTAACGCCAGCATTATTTATGTGTCATTATATACAATTAGATGACCCTGTAAATATGAGCTTGATTTTGTTTTCTTTTTGTGTAGTCTTCCATACACCAGCAAACTTGTGAAAACCTTATTGTATAACTTTATCAGACAAGAAAAGCCACCTCCTCCGGGAGCCCATGTTTTCTCTCAGCAGTCGGATGGAGGAGGACTACTGTATGGACTTGCATCAGGAGTAGCAAGTAAGTCTTACCAGGTTTTTTTCAGTTCTTTGCTGTACATTCTTTTGTCTAATTAGGTCGAATAAATTCTGTTCACTTGGCTGCTGCCATTAATAGCAATATTGAATCTGTGCCACTGGCTAAATGTGAAAACTCAAAGTAATTAAAATATTAATCTTTTCATTCTCTGGAGTGAATATAATGAATAGATTATTTACTTATAAGACAAGATTTTTCAGGGAGAATGTTAACAAATAAATATGCATGTTGCTGAGTTCTTGCTATATGGTAAAGTTAAAATTAAGCCTTTAGAAACTATTTTTTGACTGGCTGTAGTAGCTCACACCTGTAATCCTAGCACTCTGGGAGGCTGAGGCAGGTGCTCAAGGATCTCTTGAGCTCAGGAGTTCAAGACGAGCCTGAGCAAGAGTAAGACTTGGTCTCTAAAAAATAAAATAACTGGGCGTTGAGGCAGGTGCCTGTAATCCCAGCTACTTGGGAGGCTGAGGCAAGAGGATCTCTCGAGGCTAAGAGTTTGAGGTTGCTCTGAGCTATGATACCATGGAACTCTACCCAATTTAACAAAGTAAGACTCTGTCTCAAAAAAGAAAAGAAACTTTTCTCTGCTTGTGTTATAAAAGAAAGTCTTTTTATTTTAGGCTATTTTTTGTTTCAGATTTTGTCACTAATGTCTAGTTTTCCTATTGTATTCAGTGATCTGTTCAGTGACAAATGAGTACATTTTGAAGGGTTTTGTAATAAACTCTAAAGTGGCACAAACTTGAGTTTTGTCAGATTGAGTGCAAATTTCATAACTGAAGAAAGCCCTTCCCTATCTGACAATAAATCTTCATTTCTGCTTCACAGAAATTTGGATCTAAAGACAATAGAAGTATGAGAGTCCCTCTGGTTCTCCCTCCTGCAGCCTGGAGGGCCTCAGCCATGTGAGGTTACAGAAATGGGACTTTTGCTCTATTTTGAAGGAGAAAGAAAAACTAGAGTGCCACCTTGGCATTTGTGAGTCTGCACGGCTGCTCCTTACCCTTCCTAAACCAGCGACATACCCTCTGCTGGATCGCGTAGTGCAGGGTTCAGATGGAGCTGCTTTCCACAGCTGAGCTATGGGTGTGGCCTGGTCTCCACGCTCAGGTGGGGCCGCCAGTTTGGTATGAAATGGCAACACAGGCAGTGCCTGTGGCTCAAGTGGCTAAGGCACCAGCCACATACACCTAAGGTGGCAGGTTTGAATCCAGCCCGGGCCCACCAAACAACAATAATGGCTGCAACCAAAAAAAAAATAACCAGGCATTATGGCTGGTGCCTGTGGTCCCAGCTACTTGGGAAGTGGAGGCAGGAGACTCACTTGAGCCCAGGACTTGGAGGTTGCTGTGAGCTGTGATGCTACAGCACTCTACCCAGGGGGACAGCTTGAGGCTCTGTCTCAAAAAAAAAAAAAGAAATGGCAACACAGTAGGATCGCTTATTAGGTGACGAGTCTCAGGAACATTTTTGGATTCAAAGACCTCTTACAAAAAGAGTAAACTTGTTCTGTTGATTTAAGGAATTCATCAGTGAACCAGACTCTTCCATTTCTCTTCTTTGATTTTTCTGATATTATAAATTGAGTCACATTTGTGATCTGTGATGCCTGTTGTGCATGCCATACCAGATGTAGCTTCTTCTGAGTTGCTCCTATCCAAAGCTCTCATTATTTCAGATGAAGAATGGCTTTTTGTGTCCCATGTGAAGGCTTAATTAATCTATTAGTGTTTTCTTTTTTTTGATTATTAAACTGGTATAAATATTTAAAGCTGAGTATATTCTAATAGCCTGGTATGGTTAGAAGTTTTTTGGAGGATAGTAGTATAAGTTAATAATTGCTTTCTGCAAAACAATGACAATATTGGCGTTTTTTATCCGGGGGGGGGGTAAAGGAAACATAGATTTATACATAATTTTTTATTTTTCTTTCAGTTGTGTCGTATCTGAAGGAGGGCCAGTATTGTATGTGGTCTCATCAGTGTTTCAGATGCCGCAAAACTTAAAGCGTAGCCCCGTTCCTAACTAGGTATTAGCATATTATAAGGAATTCCTGTAATTTCCTTCATCGTAGTTCCTTGTCTATCTAATGATAGGGTTGATTGGGCTGGATGATCTCTGACATTATTTCTGCATAACTTTCTATGGTGTTATTTTCTTACCATTTAAAAATTTAATATTCAGTTAAGCACCTTAAAATAGATTTATGGTTTTAGTGCACTGTAGTCACGAGATATTTTATGTAGCTTTCTTCCTAAATGTTTTTGAAACTACTCATGTAAAAGTATAAATAGGATGGAATAATTATGGATTCATTATTTCATAGTATGTGACTCAGAGGATTATAAAAAAAACAACAGAGACATTCTCCTAAAAAGCACAATGAAATTTAAAAATGATCATAATCATGTAATTTTAAAATGAACTACATTCCAGGAAAGTCAATCACACTGCCAAAATTTGATCTTAGTTGTGTGATCACTTTTGATGAACTTTTGATTGGAAGCTAAAGAATTTTCTTACTTTAATATTAGCTTGAGAAAAATAGGATTTGGAAGTTCCTCATTGAAAAATTATTTATTTATTTATTTTTTGAGACAGAGTCTCACTATGTCGCCCTTGGTAGAGTGCCATGGCGTCATACCTCATAGCAACGCCAAACTCCTGGGCTCAAGTGATTCTCTTGCCTCAGCTTTCCGAATAGCTGGGACTACAGGCACCCACCACAATGCCTGGCAATATTTTGGTTGCAGTTGTTATTGTTGTTTAGCAGGCCCAGGCCGGGCTTGACCCCACCAGCCTCGGTGTATATGGCCAGCGCCCTACTCACGGAGCTACAGGCACCCAGCCATCATTGAAAAAATTTATATTCCCAAGCCAAATGTAAACTATGAACTCTTTTGGATTATATTCATTTTTATTGGAATTAAATTTTTCTTGGATATAGCAAGCATTTCCTTTTGTAGCAGTAATACTTTGTGTGTTTTGCTTAAATTATTTCCTTTGAGACAGAGTGCTTTATCTATTATTAAAAAAAACTTCACAGTTTGGACAGTTAAGCTTCATTCACACTGGTAGAAAGAAGAATCTTTGTACTAGAACTGGGGTGGGTATGAGCAGTGAGCCGCATGTCCGGACCCTCCTTAGGGTTAGGCAAGGCCTTCTCCAGGCTGCTCTCACTTACGTGTGTATTTTTGGTTATTCTGCTGTTTGTTTCCCAGACTCCAGGAAAGATGCTATTACTTTCTTGCATCCTAACACTCTCCCTTTTCGTGCCTTTGCTTGGGGTTTTTCATAACCTTACACTCTACTTCCTCCTCTCCCTGACTCTTGATTTTCTGTCCATGCAAACATTAAGGCCCTTCTTGAATGCTGTCTTCCCCATGAAGACTCCCTTTGTCCCCCCAGTCATCTTTTCTTGTGACACTTATCACTCTGCTTTGTGTTATATAGCTACTTATGTGCTTGTATGATTCTCCCCACATTGGCTCTACGTACAGTAAACTGAGAACTGACACTTATGTGACACCAGCTTGGAGAGCAACTTTCTGAGCGTCTCACTTTCTTCTCACAGCAGGCTATGAAGTAGTTGGTTTAACTATGATAGATGAAGAGATATTCCTAGTTATTGCACCGTTTTGTCTAAGATTACATAGGAAAGAGATGATGTTGGCTTGTATTTGAGTTCAGTTCCTTGACTTCTGCACCGTTATTGCACCATTTTATCTAAGATTACATAGGAAAGAGATGATGTTGGCTTGTATTTGAGTTCGGTTCCTTGACTCCTGAGCCTTCGTATTTTTGCCTTGCAGTGTCATGGTTGTTTGAGTCTTGAGTGTTGTAAGCTGCTGCTTCACTTATGTGGGTGTCCACTCCAGTATCCAGCAGAGCACTTTACATCTGTGGACTGTCAGTTAATACTTAAATACTAAAAGTGAATACTTGTCTACCAGCCACAATGCCTGGCTAGTTTATTTTGTTATATATATTTTTAGTAGAGATAGGGTCTCACTCTTGCTCAGGCTGGTTTTGAACTCCTGAGCTCAAGCAATCCACCTGTCTTTGCCTCCCAGAGTACTGGGATTATAAGCATGAGCTACCATGCCCAGCACACCACTAGTAAGTTTTCAAAATGAGAGTAATGAAAATTAACTTGCATAGATTTTGTTCTTTTTTTAAAGAAAGCTTTTTCAGACCTATTAAATAGGATTTATTTCTTTCACTAGAAGTGGTTAGAGTGAATTATATATTAATATATTACTTTATTTTATATCTATAATATTTGCAAACCTATATTAATAATGTTGCAGTATTTTCCAGAAAAATTGCTTTCTTTCTTTTTATAGTTTTTTTAGTTTAGATATTCCTCTAAATTGCTCACAAAACAGAAAGAATCAATTGATGTATCACTTTACTATTTATTTGTTTGTTTTTATTTTTTTGAGACAGAGTCTCACTATGTCACCCTTGGTAGAATGCTGTGGCGTCACAGCTCACAGCAACCTCAAACTCTTGGGCTTAAGTGATTCACTTGCCTCAGCCTCCCAAGTAGCTGGGATTATAGGAGTCTGCCACAATGCCCAGCTATTTTGTTGTTGTTGTTAGTTGTTTAGCAAGCCCAGGCTGGATTTGAACCTATCAGTCCTGGTGCATGTGGGCAGCACCCTAATCACTGAGGTATGGGCACCAAGCCTCCCTTTACTATTTAGAAAAGAGTGGCACAGTTTTTATTAATGTGGTATTTTTAAATTAACTTTTTAATGAGTCACAGAATTCCAGAAGCACCTGACATACTTCTAAAAAATACATGTGCCTTGTATTTAGATTGTAGATTCTTAATTCATTGGACAGGAGGTCTGACTCAGCAGTGCACATTTTCAATATGCATTCTAGATGATTCTGACAAAGCTGGTCCATTTCAGAACCACTAATGTTATATAATACTCTTTCTAGTGCTCAATCCATTCTTCTGGGGGCCCTTC